GTCATCTGTTCAAACCAAACTTCAGCTGTTTAAGTCATATTTTTTTGCACAACACATTTTTTTTTTTTTTTTTTTTTTACTTTTAAGTGTTTCTTTTAGGTGTAAGGGATAGCTCAGACTTTTTGGAAGTTGAATCCACAACTTAATGAGCCACCAACCTATGACCTTAAGTTGTTAACTTTCTGTAGCTAATGACATTCTGAATTTTTAGGATCATAGATCATCCTGTCAACCATCCTCCCTGGAACTCACTGAGAAGAGATCGACCTGTTCTTTTATAAAAGTTGGTAAAGGCCGTCAACCTGCATAAGTACTGGATTTCAGAAATCTGGGGCCATAAACGTGGTTGGAAGCCCTGAATTCAGTTTTGGGGCCCATGAGCCGATTCTTTTGGCTATTTAGTGTTTCTTTAAGCATATTCTGGCTGTTTGTGGCATGCAATGACTATTAGATAAAGATCTACCCACCTATGGAAATCATATTGTTGGAAATAAGTATTTCTTAGTAAAATACTAACATTTTTTCAGTATTAATATCTAATAAGCACATTTATATTTTAGGATTGGCATTCTGCAAAAGGGTTATTTAGTCTGTCATGATGCAAAAACAGATTATCTTCAGTTATTTTACCTTTTTACTTAAATCCAACTGCCTCAGGTTGTTTTAAAGGTAGGATAGAGCATCCCTCCATGATACGTTGTATTCCTCCCCCATCTTGTTATTGTGCTCCTTTGACAGCCATGTCCTCCATTGTGGGTCATTACAGAGGACGAGACAATGTGAGACATACAGCCTTAGACCACTAGATAGCACTGTTAACTCACTCTGATTAACATCAATGCAGTATTTCCACTTAACACACAAACACAGCTGGAGGGAGGGGCTCCCTGCTGAAACATAAAGAGTTCACAGGGTTTAGTACCAGGAGACATAAAATGCTTTTATTATTATGGATACAGAGGCAAAATGTTGGAGCTGACATTCTATGGCATTGAGTTATCACTGTTTTTTTTTGGGGGGGGGGATGTTTTGTTTATCAGATGCACACCATCAGAGGCAACAGGCAAAGGTTACATGTATGTCATGCAAACTAGATAAATAACTCTTTAAGTGTACCCTTTGCTATAAAGTTAATCATCCACTGGCAATAATGTAGTGCCTTTAGGTAGAAAAAGTAAAGAGGGAGAAAAATATACATACAGTATGTAAACAGTCAAAGAAATTGCACTTTTTTTTTGGCTCGAAATGAGAAGCCACACTACTGAAAGAGCACTGGAAAACAAACAAAAAGAAAACAACAAATTTACTGTCACACATTGTCTGACCAAAGTACGCTCAGCTAAAAAAAGGAGGCCAAATATTTAACTCTAAAAAACATAGAAAGAGTAAAAATCATATACAACCATGTCAGTTATAAGGATATATTGGTCAGCCGTATATATATTGTTAAAAACGTTGCAGCAAAATGAAAAAAGATCTGACTGGTAGCTTTTATGAGTTATACTCAATTTACACTTTACTGCTGATGAAAGAAAACAAGTCCACGTTCTGTACATTCACATAAAACTGAAGGCTTGTTAATCCAAATACTCCTAAGATGAGAACAATCTAATATGCTTTTGTACAGAAAAAAAAACAAAGTCCTCAAATATTCACAAATTAATAAAAAGAACATAACTGGAGTACTTATATAGTCCTTATTAGAGGAGATATTGCTTTTAAAGACCACATGAGCTTGCTTTTACATGTAAGACGACATGGCACTTCTACAGAGCATTTTGGGGATAAATCAGTTCTTGTAACCCCCCCACCCCCCNCGCTTCACAAAGATAGGATGTTATAGATAGGATGAGTCTTGAACTGAATTAACCGGTGTCAAGAGGCACAGATGCACTGACTAATGTAATTGGGAAAGAATACCGCAATTTTTAATATTTTTCAAATTAAACATCACTCAGACTCTGATCATCGATAAATGATATATATATGTGTATATATATACACACAACTTTTTTTCTGTGCGGCCCGGTACCAAATTACCGACGGACCGGTACCGGTCCGCGGCCCGTTGGTTGGGGACCACTGCTTTAAGGCACAAAGACCTTTATCCAACAATTATATATTTAAAGTTTGCTTCTGATGAGGTAGATTTTCTTTTCTTGATAGGTAGTTCTCCAGATTTTAGAGTTTTTTTTTTAAGCTTTTTATTTTCTTTGGATGCTTTTTTACTCAGTATTTTTCCCATTTCTTAAGTGAGGGTTATTTATTTTCTGCAATGATGCACTTACCTCTGACCTACAGTGCCTTGCAAAAATATGAGAGTCTATAAAGGCTGTAGAATAGCTCTGAAGAAAAGTCGCTCAAGCTCAATTTAGTTGGATTGGTGAAATCTGATCATCGGTTTGCAGGGTTGCCATAGATTCTGTGTTGAATTTAGGTCTTGGCCCCTCCATGTACAGATATGCTTCAATCTTAACCTTTTCATTGCTGTTTAGGGTTGTTGTCCGTCTGGATGTAAAACCTCCACCCCGATCTCATCTTTTTCAGTCTTGAAAAGATTTCCTTCAAGGTTGCCCTGTGTTGTTTCCCCATCAACCACAGTATGAAGCTGCAACCTCTTTGTTTTACCTTTGGGATGGTGTGCAGCGGATGATGTACAGCACTCAGTGTTTTGCACATCGAAAATTTTCATTTTGATCTCGTCTCTTTAGAGCAGAGCAACCTCTTCAATAGCAAAGCTGTGTCTCTATACGCTCCACATAATCTGGGCAGACTATTAGTAAAAAAGCATCCAAACTCCAAAGAAAAAACTTCTAAACTCTGAAGAACTACTTATGAGGGCCACTATATAAAATTTTACAGAAAAGTCTGATTGTTTAGAGGGGAAAGAACCAAAGGATGACTCAATGACGTTGCAGTACTGTCATTTTCTGAAATCATTACTTATAACTCACATGGTTTAACACTGAATGCAATTGAGTATAAGCATGGATGCTTTGGTTGGATGGCACATTGATATAATCCTCAGTGATAAAATATGATTCAACTGTAGCTCATCCTATGGTTTCAGAAACAAAATCACAAGCACATTTTCTGCTCTTGTGTAACACTGAAATATGAATGCAGCCACACAAAAAGAATAAAAATCCTAGAAGAGATCAAAAATGCTCCAGTTAAGCTTATAGGTTTGGTGGCTGTCCTCAGCTTTTCTATTTACCTCCCCATCCGGTCTCCTGATCATGATCATTGATCTTCATGATAGTGATGATGGTGGAAGTAGTCTGCACTGCTGCTGCTGCTCATATGAGACATGTTGCTTTGTGTCTTTCACATATTTATGTTTATCTCTGGATTCTAGATGTGTCGACTATGCATAATGTTTATCTGTTTTGTTATAAAACCATCATTATCCATTGCATCCAAGGTATTGGGGAAATATCTTTAAAGTTACAAGATGGTAAGAGATTCAAATACGTCTGTATTTGTTTCTGTAGGAATGTTTCTTTAACACAGAAATCAGGGAGAGCTCGATTCTTCAATAAAAGTCCATGTGATTTTTTTTTTTTTTTTGTGTGTACATCAGTGCTATGTAGCATGACATTACTGGCGCTACAGTAGCAGTAAAAGAAACTGTCACAATCTCATATTGTAAATAATTATAATGCCATCAAATGGATAGTAATAAATGCTCAGATTGAATATTATTGGACAAATGAAGCTGTTTGTTTTGATTTTTTTGATTTTATGTGAAAGCTGGTAATTTATTAGATGTGCTATTTATTGATCCCCAAGATGTATAAAAAGGAGCAGCTCTCTATCTATCTGGGTTCTCAAAGTGTGAGGGTATGAGCATGGTGGTGTGTGTTTGGAAGTGAAAGTAGTCAGAGATGATGTGAGCACTTTCAAGTGTCAGCACATCCTGCACTTTCGCTGTGTGTGTGTAACAAAAAGCCTCTTCTTCTTCTCTCTGGTGTAACGTAGCCTGTAGACCTTCCTGAGTCCCACTATTACATATAGTTGCGTGCCCTTCTGCTGTCAGTCAGTTGTCCACTTTCTGCATGTGCTTGTTTGTAAATACACCCAATAAAGTCATCTGTTCAAACCAAACTTCAGCTGTTTAAGTCATATTTTTTTGCACAATATCTTTTTTTTTTTTTTTTTTAGCTTTAAACTGGCTCACTTCTCCTTGTGCCATTTCCCAAAGGTGCAATGTGACTTTGAAAGCTTAACAAGTAAATGAGGGTTCAATTTTGACCTACTTAAGGGGGGCCCGGGCTACATTTTCGTTTTTTTTTTTTTTCCCTCCCCGGGCGGCTTATGAGCTCCTCGTCTCTTGGAAACTAGGGAGCTGAAAATGCAGAGTACCGCACTGTACATGTCCGCTGTCAACCTCCCGTGCAACACACATCTTTTTAGTTAGTTTTTGCTTAAGGTGCCGAAGTAAGAGCATTCAAAGTGTATATATGTGTTCTTCTTTAAAGTGAGTCCACTCTGCATACATACAGTCTTTAGTGTGCTTGATCATCCAGCACTAGTGCAAATTCATTTCAGCTGGTCTTTTTTATTTATTTATTTTTTTCCTTCATCCACGTCAGTGTGTCTGTCTCTTTTTATCTCCCGCTACTCGGACTATAGTTGCCATAGTTTCATCCTTGATGGGATGCCCTTCAGAGCGCAAAGTTCGGCGCACTCGTGTATCAGCGTTCGAGGTGGTTTTTTTTTTTCCTTGAATTTTCAGCCACAGATAATATTTCAAACCCTCCCAGTCTTCTTCTTTATTTTCCCTCTGTTTTTTTTTTAGTCGGTGCAGTGACATCAGTTTTAGTCCATCTGTTCACTGCTGGGGCTGGTCCCTTTTTCGAGTAGTTCCACCCTGCAGAAAAATAAAATGTAGTCAACAAGATGCTCCATGCATTCCGGGTTTAGTATTCAATTTTAGCTGGAATCTCCTACATTTTTTTTTTTACTTCATCCATGAAAATCAGTATTCCATCTGGGTTTTATGGGAAGGTTTTTGAGAAATTGTTCCAATTAAATATCGGATAAGTGTGGCATTCTATCCCTTTCAGAGTCAGTACTTTGTAGAACTTTTACATTTTTATCCTTTTATGTTATTACATGTTTATTTTTGTTTGTGTGTCTCATGTACTGCTCAAATGAATTGGGATTAATAAAGAGGTCTAAGTCTAAGAACCATGTTTCACAGCAAATATAAGCTGCAGCTCTTAAGGTGGTGCCTTCAGCTGGAATTGAGGTGACTTGACAAGAAAAGTAGTTGAAGTTTTTTTTATTTAGGGAAACCAGATTACAGGGGGTTTACAAAACTGCGGACTTCACACATATATCAGATTTATATTTAAATCTGATATATGTGTGTTAACATAAGACCCTTTTTCTTAAAATAAATGCGTTTTTTCTTGAATTGATGAGCTAAGTGAGACAATTTTCATTTAAAATAATAAAAAAACAATTTAATTGTCTTATTTCAAGTGCATATTATCTAATTATCTTAATTAAAGAGTAAAATTTAAGACATTTTTTCTTATTTCTAGATTGTTTTTGCAGTTAAGTGTAGCAGTTTGAGATTGTAACATGAAAAAAATGTACCAATGGTACAAAGGATGGGAATAATTTGCATGTACTCCACTTACCTCTCTCTCTTTTTGTTCGTTTATGAATGCTGCAGAGTCAAAAGTAAATCATTCAACCGTTTCCTCCTCTGTTCTCTGCTGCAGACATCTCTTTCCCCTCGTTTTGCTTCCTCCTCTTCCTCCTCCTCCTCTTGTCTGCTCCGTCTATTGGTGGGCTGAGGTGAACAAGAACGAACAACTAACTGCAAAAGCAGATTTAGAAAAAAAAAAACTACTCTGTTAAGAGACTTATTTCTCCATGTGGGTGGTGTGTGTTTCGTTAACTCACGCTGGGGCTGGCAGTGAGCGAGCTGGGGGTGTCCTGACTTTGGTGGTGGGGATCACTGCTGCTGATAACCGTAACCTCCACCCCCACTGAGTGATCTGCAGGTCAAGCAGCATGGGGAACGTTAGCAAAGGCAGGAACGTTATCTTTTACATTCACATTTTAATCATATGTGTTCTTGTTTTCTCTTTGGTTTCTGTCTGCTGGATGAAAGTGTGTGGTTTCACTGCTAATGGAGAAAGTCGATGCCTGCTGAGTTCTTGGACACCAGCATTGGATGACAGAAATAGGGAAACATTTCTGCAGGCTGCATTCTGTGGTTGGAAAACCACTTAGTTTGGGCTGCTGAGTATGATACAGAAAGACAAGCCAAACATGAAGTCGGATGAGCGCGCACATACATGCACACGTACATTTACAGTCCACTCTGATGTACGGCAAAAACAAAACGATGAAAAAGCGCAAGGTTCAACCACAAACACCTACTGAAACAAAACTAACACACACACTTGCTTCATGGACCTGACTTGATGTGGCTGTCGTCTCCACTGGAGCCATCGCAGGACAAGATCTGTGAGTCCTCTCCCTCCTCGCCTCCATCTCTCCCCCTCTCTATCCGCATTCGGATTTGGCGGTCTCTCACAAGCTCCCAGTTCCTAACGAGGAACACGTTGTGTTTCACCACAAAGCTCCTGGACCAGAGAGACAGAGAAAGAGAGACTGTTACCCCACTAATGCTAAAATGAGTTTAACAGCAGTTTATTTTGAAATCCATGCCTCTCGCTGCAGGTCAGAGGTTCCATGTCGAGGTGAGGGAACAGGCTGGTGATGTCTCTGGAGCTCTCCTCCTGTTCAGTAGTATATGAGGAGATGAATGAAGGTAAAGTATTAAAAATGAGCTGGTTTAAAACAAACTCAAGCTACAAAACTCACCATTGTTGGTTGAGAAGATGGAGTCCTTTGCTTCAGGCGACCTGTCGGATGCATGGAAAGAAATAAATCAGAGACCCCAGACTTATTTACGTCCTTTCTTCAGATTTCTGAAAAGCGTTGGGATTATATCACTCTTAATTAAAGCAGTTAATTATTTAACAAATCAGTTTAATTTCAGTAGATCTATTTTCTTGGCTAAAAGAATAAAAATACATAACTAAATAACGGCAAACTTAAAGGCAATAAATGTAACTAAGCCGTCTTTACCTTACGCTGTTTAAAGTTACAAACTCTAAATTAAAAAAATCTGAAAGCTCATAATTATTTTGGAGTAAAAGTATCTAAAACAACACAGATAGGTCTACAAAAAAGAAAGCACAAGTCTGTCAGAAAAGCCCTTTCTGTTACGAAGGCCTTAATAACAGAGTTTATGTAACAGCTCTGCAAGGGGAGAATTTTTGGTAGAAATTTAACTCAAAATAGAGGGTGGTTTTTGTTGATTTTTTCTTCATCAAAATCAGAAGGAAATTAAAAAATGTAATTTAAGTAGATAGATCCATGGTACTCTTCAAGGGTTAGGAAAATATGACGAATGAAAAGAACAGTGCTTTTCTCAAGGTACTGCAGACAGAGGAAAAATTAAAATGTGGAACAGTGAGAAAAAAAATGGCCAATGTTTATTATGATAGATATAGAACTCGGGAGACAGAAAATAAAATAAAAAAAACCCTCAAAAATCACTGTTAGAGAACTGGACAAAACAAAAAAGTTTAATCTAAGGCTCATCATGTCTCCTTAATAATATTTAGTTTATATGTAATTGCCAATTGATTGTTTGGGAATGAAGCCATGTAAAGAGGACTTTCTGTCCCACCATCACAAACATAAATGTGGGTTTTTGGAAGCTCCTGCTTTGGTCAGATGAGACTAACATTGATAGTTTGTTAAAAGAATCGCAGGCACATCTGAATTTGAATGTTATATATGGTGGCGGATCTGTGATGCTGTGGGCCGGTTTCACTTCCAAATACCCAGCAGGGCAAATTTACGTTAAACATGGGAAGGAGGATGGTATCAATATGATTAAAAGGAATAGGACCTAAGAATGTGTTTGTTAAGTGAAATACATTTCTAAATTTGTAAAATGGCTACTCGCTTAAACATGAGAATAAAGCAAAAAGTTTAAATGACTGGTGTGATGAGAAGGCTGGAAGAGGACCCACGTTTGTCTTAGTAAAGAGCTTTGAATACATTTTAACCAGAGGTTGCAATAGAAGTCAATGGTGCTTAATGTATTGAGAAATAAACTCACAGTAACGCCGCTTTCTTTTCAGGGGCACAGCAGGTTGACGCTGAAGCTGTAGCCACATCACATGAGAATTATATCCAAGTCATAAAAAATAAACACATATTTTAATATCTCATTTGTTGTTTTATCCTAGGTACCTGGTTATGTTGCCACTGCCACATCACATCGTATGGAAGCTGGAAGTGAATTCGCTTCAGTCTTAAGTACTTCCCTAAAGAAGATGAGGATTTTAGTGAAGGTGACTGGCGGCAGTCAGACAAGCCAGAACTGACTGAAGAATAATCTGTGCTCACCAACATGTATGGGAGCAGGTAGGAGGCTGTACTCAAGATCCCCTGGTGTGTACTCTAAACTTTCACTACAGGTTTGGGCTCGGAAGGGAGGACTGACACAAACAGGATACAAAAATTTCATTTTGTATAAAAAAAGGTCATGAATTATCTCATATATGAGGCAGTTTATGGGTTAAGTCAGCTCACTCTGTAGTTTTATAGTCATCAGAATAAAGGCCTGCTCTCAGGTAGTTTTTCACTGGAGAACCGTCTCTGCTCTCTTCCCTATGCAGGGCTACAGGTTGGGGCGGAGCCTCGTCCACATCCGATTGGCTGAGAAACTCAGAATGTGTGTCACATTCGGGGATGTCCTTGGCAAAACTAAAAGGAAAGTGCATACAGAGAGGTAGAGTGATAGGGAGGGTAAAGGAGAAAGAAAGAGAGATAGAGGGCACTGGTTTAGCACACAGTGCTGAAAACAGTGGGTTAATATAACAGCAGAGAGTGGTTGCATTGAACAGTCAAATCAACCAGCTCCGGTGTTTACCTCTGATGGCAGGGAGAATCACCATGTTTTCTCTTTCGCCCCCTCTTCCTCGAGGCCTGTGACACCAGATCCATGACCTGCTGGGCTGTGTTGCCTCCTCCTCCTCTCTTCTCTGGCACCACTTCTTCTGCCTCCCCTTCCGCTTCTGGCACTAAGTCACCCAGTGGCATGGCTAACTTTGCATGGGATGGGGAGGGCAGCGGGTGCTTCCTAGGACGTCCTGGCCCTCTTTTGTTTTTCACCACAGCACAGTGTGGAGTTGGCATGCTCGTCCGCTGCCCCCAGTTTCTCAAGTCACCTTGTAAACCTGCAGGAGCGGGAGAGGTGGTGGTGGTGGTGGGACGGGATTCGGGAGGGCATGAGTGGCAGAGAGGAAATAAGGCAGATGTGGATAAGAGATTAAGGCAGCAGAAGGTGTGAGGTGAGCCCAGTCTGGGCTGACTCATGAGGACAGGCTGCAGCTTAGGTGAGTCATAACATTTCCTCTGACCGGATCACTTCTGGGAAATGCATTAAACGTGATTTATGAGCTGCACACACACACAGAAAAAAAAATGATGCACACAAACACAGGCATGCATAACTATAGTGCACATCGCCTATTGAGCTGCTTTTTTTAGCGTGTTGTATCAGAAACAAAACAAACCTTTTTTTTTCCCTGCACACACACTCTCAGTTCCCCCTCCCTGACCTCCTTCTGATGCTTTCATCAATCTCTCCTAAGGTCATCCATCTTTTTGTTTCATCTTCCCCAGCCCCTGACAAGATTGACCACTCTTTCCTTATTGGGTTTTTCCAAATCAAACAGGCTCAGTCGGCCCAGCCAGAAGGAAAAGAGCCAGCCTTTAATAGCCAAGCTAGTGGTTAACTAATGGATAGGCTTTAGAAGCAAAGGCATGCATTTTGGGAAGATTTTAAAGATATTCTTGCAGATTCCCCTCAAGATATTAAAGAAGTTCAGAAATACACATGACAGCGGTGAATTTCTTTTATGGGTTTTAAAAATTAGCAGTTTCGTTGTCAAGGTAGAACAGAAAATACATCTTTAATGAATTTAAAAGGTAAGAACTGCTTCCAAATGTTTATATTAGTCTAAGATTAGTCAGATTTTTACCCAGAATCAAATAGAAACATTACCTCAGCATTTGTCTTTTTTTTTTTTTTTGCAGCCACTAACAACCTCCTTGCTTAATTTCAGATGAATATTTGTGGGAAAACAAATCTTGGTAAAATTGTTAGACATGGCCTTAAAACATGATCTACTTATTATCAATACATATAGAATTGGATCCATTACAAAGGTCAGCCTACTTAATAATTCTAAAATCAGTTTTTATGTCTGTTTGGGATGACTGCCCTGTTAAAGCACCTCGTTAACAGTCCCGCCCTCAGATTGAAAAACTTTCGAGAGCTCAGTTGACTAAAAATGCATACAGGATACCATTAAAAACATGGCACTGCTATATTATTTGATATCAACGATATGTGTTATACTTAGTCCAGATCTCACTACTTCCTTTATTTTTCAACATGACAATAACCCTGCTACTATCTTTTAGCTTTCTGATCGTGGTGACTAAAATCTATATCAGCTGTGGGCATAATGAAGGGAAAATAATCCAGGGGACAAATTGTATAGCCCTTGAAATATTACAAGCTTAAAAGTATTATTTTCAAGCTTAATTGCTAAAAGACATATTGTGAAGATTAAATCTTATATGAACAGGATGTAATTAAAATACTAGTGTCTCTGTTTCTCTAGGCCAAACAGCCACATGCTTTCTGGGGAAAGGTTTCATAGTCAGAGGAAAAACAGGTTCAGTTTTCTGTTTCTCTAAAAATACACAGGAAGGTTTGAAGGAGTAAAAGTGAGACTTTTAAAACTAAAATTGCCAGTTGTCCAGCACAGTGGTGTGAGGCTGTTTCTCTGCCTGTGACACTGGTGCATTGAAGAGTGGATGAAAGAGGAAGACCACCCTAAAGTTCTTAAATATGGACCTTCAAACTGTTTGGAGTTTATTCAGTTTATTGAATTGAACTTTTTATTGATCTCACATTAGAGAAGTTTACTTCTGCATTTAAACCATCCCCTTGGGGAGCAGTGGGCTGCCATTGTGCGGCGCCCGGAGAGCAGTGTGGGGTGAAGAGCCTTGCTCAGACAGCCAGAGTGGCAGTCTGTGGGAGTGGGGCTCAAACTCATAACCTCAGGATTCCAAGCTCTATGCCCTAACTACTTGGCCACCCCTCAGATTCATGGGTACCACTGACCACTTAACAGACCTAGCATATTATGTTACCAATTCTATGCTGGACAGCTGTTTAAAAGCTCACAGCAATATTTTGAATCAAAACATACTTCTTGCCATTTTACCAAAATATTTGAATTGGTATATCAGGGCCAGCTGCAAACATCAGTCAGGCTTGAACATTTGGAAAGCATGGCCATGGTCAAACTGGATCTAATTCAGCTCTATTTAAACATTTTTGACTTAGTTTAAAGGTCTTGTCAAAGTCCAAAAACCCAAACATTTAAACTAAGGAATTGCTCAAAATAACAGACAAACCTGTTGCTGGACACAAGTGGAATTACTGGGGATGAATGTATATATTTGAGTCTTTAGTTATAATTTTGACCCTGTGTGGATTTAAGGAATCTCACCGAAAATCTGTTCTTTACACCGTTTAAAAAAAAACTGTATTGTAGGATCATCTCAGCCTGGAAAATAAACCCTTTGTCAATGAATGTCACCTTCTACTCACCCCTGTTATTTCTTAACAAATTTTCACTAGGGTAGGTGAGGAATGGCTGTGTGGGTGCCCTTGCAAAAAAAAGGACTATGAAGCTGGCTATAAAAAGAATGGAGTCTGATTTCTCCTCATGCAGCCTCTGGGCTTTGATGTGTGGCTTAACAACGCCTGAGAAAAAGCAGGGCTGTCACTATATTGGGCACTCTGCTGCTGGTTGGTGGAGATATATCGTCACACTGTGCAAATAACAAAATCTGTCAAAGTTTGCGAGTGAAAAGAGGTTCTGTGTGTAATCCCAACTCAGCTAGCTGTCATTACCTGGCAGCTGATGTTATGTTTTAAAAGGTGCTGTGGTTTCTGTTTCATCTAGATTTCTGTTGGTATTCATAGACTAATATTCAATGCCAATTAAGAAATAATGAAAAAAGTTGTGTATTGAATAATTATCCACTCAAGCATCCTCACCTGCCTCCCTCATCTCCGTCCATGCTGGCTCATCCCTACTCCATGACTTCTCCCCACTTCCAGGATTCCTGCTGGCCAATCCACTCCTTAGGCCCCTCCCTGCTGCTGACATGGCAGCAGAAGTGAACAAGTTGGTGTGTTTGGAAACATAAAAGTGTGACTCATTCACATCATCTTCACAGTCCTCGTCCTCCTCTTCTGAGGCAGCCTGTCTGCCCACGTGCTTGTCCCCGGTGAAGCCTCTCCAGCTGGGGTTTAGGGTTCCAAATCCTGCGCTTCCTAGACTCCCAAATGTTCCCCAGGTTTGGCCCAATCCTCCCCAGCCTCCTCCAAAGGAAGACAGGTGAGTGGAGCCAAGCCCCAAAGAGGTGAGTGATGTGTTTTTGTACCTTTCTGCTGAAGAGGATGATGAAGAAGAGGTGGCAGAGGAGAAGGGAATGCTCCCATTTTGACGTAACCAAGGTGAGTCTTTGGACAGCGTGCTTCCTTCTTTCCTCCTTCCCTCTACTTGCCTAAAAAGGAATCCTGATTGCGTCTTTGCACCACCCAACAGCTCCCTATCTATTCCATCTTCATCCTCCTCATCCTGTAACTCTTCTTCGGTTTCCATGTTTCGCTCATAGTGTCGGTGTCTGTGCTTATGTTTGTGTTCAGTCCTCCCCCAGCCACAAGAGACACCGGACACAAACCCTGAGCCCACACCTCTGCTGCTAGCCCCTGGATCTCCCTCCACTTCTCCTCCTAAAGCTCCCTCTCTGAGCAACCTGCTTCTGCGCCTGTGGAATCTGGCCGGGTTTAGGAGGAAGTGAGCGTGGTGGGACTGATGGGGGGTGTACTGGTGAGGAGGCGGAAGTGGGAAGGAGCTGGGGAGGTGGTGGTAGAGTGATGGGGGTGCTGGTGGGTAGCTGCCATAAAACCCCATGTTATCAATTGTTTCCTGAAACTTCGAGGGGCAGCTGCACTGCCGGCGGTCCAGCTTCCTATTACAATGACAGGCATAGAAGGGCTGAGGGTTGAAGGAAGGAGCAGCTGGAAATGATGGAGGGTGTGGTGTGTAGAACCCATTCAGATTGATGCGGAAGATGTTGGACCGGTGGGAATGGGAAGAAGAATGATGCCGCCTTCCCCCATCAAAGCCCTGCCCGAGTCCCGTCCTTGCCCAGCTCCGTCGTCCAATGTGGACCTCGTTGAACTGAGCGATCAAATCTTCTAGCTCAGCCAGGAACTCTGGGTCTTGCATATGCATCTGCTGGTGCTTCTTCTTATGCTTGTTCTTCTGTCTCTTTAGTGCACTGTGTCCAAGGCAGGAGTAATACTCTGAATGAATGCACTTGTTGTGGCCAAGGCAGGTGCATAGACAGGGGCAGGAAGAGGGGCAGTCATAGTCCCTTCGCCTGTGTCGGTCTCTGAGCCGCTCTGCTGCATTTGAGGTGCTTGTGGTGTTTGAGTTTCTGGGCACATGAGATAGGGCTGAGGAGACTGAAGATTGGTGGTCTACAAGAGATGTAGGGAGTCTTTGACCACCTAGAATCACCCCTGACCCCTGACCCATCCTCAGTATACCTCTGGCTCCCCTCATCTCCCCTCGCTCAGAGACACTGTTGTTATCCGTTCCAATCCCGCTGTCGCTGGGCAGTGTCTCGTCGCTGTGTGACTCACTCCTTGGGGAGGGGGTGGCTTCCTTCAGGTGGCTCGGAGACCCTGGTACATGATGCATTGGAGGGGTAGCACCCGAGAGCTTACATGAAGACTGGTGGAAGGGGAACTGATGTCTCCCCTGACATGGACAGCTCTTCTTCACAAAGGGGGAGAGAGACGAGGAGGAAGGAGGACGTGGGGATGTACAAGAAGAAGATGGTGAAGGGAGGGAGAAATGGTGAGAAAAGAGGAGGGAGGATGTTGGTTCTGTGAGGCTGCCTTCGCTATAAGGACTCTGGGCTCCACTAGAGTGGGTGAGTGAGGGGGAAGGAAATGGGTGAGATTGTGGAAGCTGTGGCTGGCTTGATGAGAAAAGAGATGCTTCAGGGGGACTGGTAAACAAAGACGAGTGAGAGGAGTTCTGTGAGCTAGAGTTTAAAATTGCTGTTTGAGACTTAGGCTTGCGTCCTCGCCTCTTGCCCATGTAAATGGTCCCTCGTTTGCTTACATTGATCTGAGGGCCTAGCTTGCTCCCAAATGAGGAAGACAGGGCTGAAAGGGTGTGAACTGTTGTAGCCTCAATCGATTTACACATTCTCAGGGAGGTTTTACCATCCGCTGCCTCCTTGCCCCTTCCCTCCTTCCCCACATAACCAGACATTATGACTTTGTGAAGTCTCCTCTTCTTTCTTCTCTTCATTTCATTAATCAGTTTTCTGATCTTTAGCTGCCGGTTTCCCCGCTCAGGCAGATGAAATTCTTCACTTCTTTCCATGCGACTGTGGGGATTAAGTGCATCCTCGCCCTGGTCACCCGGGAGGGGTCGTTTGGGTGGACGCCCTCGTTTCTTAGGGCTTGAGTTGGATTGCAGTATTGGTACCAACATGGGAGCTTTCTTAGCTCTGTCACACCCTACAGATGGATCCTCAGAGGAAATATCATTCGGTGAAAGTCGTGGAGGAGGCTCATCCAAGCTGGAGCTGTGAGATTTAGGGCGGCCCCTCTTTCGGACTGAATCTGTCATGGGTTGAGTTTGTTTCGGGACTGCTGAAGACATTGGGGAGGAGCAGCTGGATAAGGAGCTTGAGGGCGCTGACTGTGATTCATCGTTATGGTGAACAGTGGTTTTGGCAGGGAATGATGTCTTGGTGATCTGGGGGAAATTTAGCGATGCATTATGCAGGGAATCCAAAGAGGCTTCCTGATTTTCCGCTCTGTGGGCGCGGTGTACCAGCTTGGTCCAGCTGGGCCTTCTGGCTTTACGTTTCTTGAGTGGTCGGCTGTCCTGCTCTCGTGGCGAAGAGGGGGGAGAAACAGGAATGTGGGAGGACGATGGAGGAAGTGGGGGTGGAGCAGAGGACGTCGAAAGTGGAGGAGGTCCCGCTGTATGTCTTGTGACGTCTTGTTCTTTTGATTTACTGTAATCACCTGTTGTCGCAGACTCGCCTTGTTTAGCAAGCCTACAACTGTCAGCAGCCTTTTCTTTCTCCTCTAATCTCACTGGAGCCACTTTTTTACATATTTTATCTAATTTAGGAATCCCAACAGTTTCACCACATTTTGCATTATCCTCTGTCCTTGATTTGTCCGGGCTTTGCTTATCTCCCTTTCCTGTCTCATTCTTCAGCTTATCTTTCCATAATTCATCGGTTTTGTGTTTCTCGTCTTTTTCTTTATCATGTCTTAATTTCCCATCCTTCTCCTTCTTCTTTTTCTTGATCTCATCCTTTCTTTTCTCACTTTTTTCTTTGTCTCCCTCTGATCTGTCTTTCTTTGATTTTTTATCCTTCCGTTTCTCTTTCTTGGCTTTCTTCTCCTTCTCTCTCTTGTTCTCTATGAGCGCCTGTGGGGATGGATCGGGACCCACTGACAGGACAGAGGAAGAATCCACAGAGGGGGGAGACTGTGATTTGGGGGTGACTTGTACACAGGAAGGAGAGTCCAGCTTAGGCTTACTGGAAAGGTCTTTGTGGGAGCCAAATGACACCACAGGCCTCGCTGTGGAGTCTGAGGAAGAAGTAGAAGAGGAACCACTGTGTTTTCCAGCTTTGTTTTTTGATGAGGCTGGAGTACCAAGGATATTTGAAGAGCTCCTCCCATTAGATAGCTCCTTCTGTTTTGCTGTCTGAACCAAACCATTGTGTTTCTTGGAGCTGTTCCCTTCATTCCTGGTTTCTGAAGTGGAGACTGTCTGCTTGCTTGGTGTGGACGGAGTGGTTGAAACAGTCTGGTCTGCTGTGGGAGAGCGGGGTTTTTGTCCTGCAGGGACGGACTGTCCATTGACGCATGGAAGCTTATCTTTCTTCACTCTCTCTGATGAGCCATTTGAATTATCATCTGTCTTATCAGCCAGCTTGATAGGAACCTAGACAATGCAAACAAAAAAACAATATCTGTAACAAACAGTAATAACAATGAGTTATAATTCCCTTTTAAAATAGCATGCTCTTTTATTATATGGGATTTATTCTGCAGGAATCAAATGATACAGAGTCTAAAGCGTAATGAGGAAAAAAATAGGAAAGATGAAGTTACCCAGTATCACATCCCTAGTCTGAAACTTTAGCAAAGCACATTTTGCTTGAAATTCAACATTCAGTTTTTTTCAGTTCACTCTCTCCATAAATTAAGGTGAATCTGGTTACACTTAATTAAAGTCTTGCTGTCCTATTAGAGGTTCCTGGCTTTTGCAACCTTAGCCACATTTTTCAGAGAGCCAGTGGTCACAATGATCATATTGTTTAAAAGTTTCAATGAGGATCAGGGTACAAAAAAGTGATAAATATATCAATGCAAGAGGAGACAGTTATCATAAATTCAAGCTAAATAGAAAATAGTGGATATAAATTGTGCAGTTCATCCCAACAGATGAAAAGGATAAGAGGGAAACTGATCAGGGAGGCAGCCAAGTGACTGACAACAAAAAGGTACAACATTATACCACCAGCATCAGACAGGTTTTTATACTTATACTGAATTTTGACCCAAGAGTTTGAACGCCACAGTAGAACTCTTTCTCCTTGCCCCTGCCAATCGTTTTCCAATGTATTATTGTTCAAATGTGATGAGGCTGTGAAAATCCCAAGTTCAGCTTTGAGCTTCTCTGTATGCTTTACCAAATTTATAAAATATATAGATATATATTTATTAGAAACTTGCACTACTATAGGTTCTGGGAATGCATTAATGAATACTGTAAACAAATTAATGTTAGTTAAAATTGTACAGTATAGAGTTTTAAACAAAATTAGAGCATTTTTAATCTCTTTCATACAGTGGCCCAGAGGTGTCACCACTAATACAAAAGCCGCAGCACAAATACAAGAGCCGCAACACAATTACAAAAGCTGCAACACAAATACAAGAGCCGCAACACAAATACAAGAGCGGCAACACAATTACAAGAGCCGCAAAACAATTACAAAAGCCGCAACACAAATACAAGAGCCGCAACACAATTACAAGAGCCGCAAAACAATTACAAAAGCCGCAACACAAATACAAAAGCCGCTTTTGTAATTGTGTTGCAGCTCTTGTATTTGTGTTGTGGCTTTTGTATTAGTGGTGACACACCTGGGCCACCATACTTTCAGTCTTCCTGATATTGATATTTCCCTCCAACAGGTTGGATCAAAGCAAGGAAATTGTAGGATTTGTAATATATGTTGACAGGAGTTATATCGGATGTTCATAGATACATAAGAAAGGTTAAACTGGTTGCATTTTTAGTTGAAGCATGTAAAAACGTCTCCAAACTTAACATGCCTTGCATTTGAACGACGGTATCATAACTGATTGATATAGTTTGGACTTTATGAGTGATTATTCTAATTATGTGGAGTTTTCAGGTATCTATTAGAAAAGTTGTTCACGATTTTTTCAACCTGGTGATCCTCTATCTATTTGACTCTATATTTATTTGTAAATATAAAATGAACTAAATATACTAATTTAAAAAGAAATCATTTTAAAAATAATTTTTAATGATTTTTTTCATTATTTAAAATGTATTGTTGATTAATTATTTAGATATTTAATTATTCAATTGCATTTTTTTCAATTTATCTGTATATTTGATGATTAAATTGTATATTAAAATAAATAAATGCTACTTCTACTCGTTTCATGGATCATGTATTTATTTTTTGAAACATCTACATTTTTCATTATATGTTTTTTTCTTCCATTTACATCAGAAACGAAAAAAAAAATATCTTGCGACCCTCATTTGTTTGGCGTCTTTGGGGTACCTACCCCTACTTGTATCTTTCTATGGTGTCCTTGAGTGTCAAGAAAGGCTCCTTCATATAAAATGTATTATTATTATTATTATCAACACTTTAAGAACCCCCCTGAGATTAGGAAGAAATTTCAAAAGCTGTAGTTGGCAAATATTGAAAAAAATCCAGATTAGGCAAACTGTAGCTGCAGGTAACTGCAGCTATATTATGTATTCCTTAAAGATGATCCTCAAAGATGGACAATACTTTTAAATGATTTGCCTTTGTGTCTCAAAATCCTGTCTTTAAGACAGGTTTGCAACCAAAAAAGATTTGCATCAATAGAGAGCATAAGGATTAAATGGGTCAAACAGGTAGAGAAAACGAGGGCACTTTGAAGGAAAAGGGAGAGAGCCAGGTGATGAAAACAGGAATGGGGACAAAGAGAGAAGAAATGCAAAGGTGGAGCAACAGAAAGGAACAGAGTGGGACAGAAGGGGGAGTGAAAGATAAATGAGAGCACACAGAGAAAAGAAGGAGATGTAAAAATAGAAAAGAGCAACAGATATAGAGGACCAGGCAGAGACTGAAAGAGAGAGAGAAAACATTGCTATTGGTAGCTATAAATGGCCACTAATACAGATGAGAAGGGTTGACATTTTATACTGGTTCTGTAATTTTGGTATGCTGCTGCCTCTCTAGTGGTGTTTGAGCAGCTTAAGCTATAAGCTTCCCCTCCGGTGATCATCACAAGGACTGATGGACCGATGTCTGTAATAACTCCAACTGGCTGCCGTCCTGTCAGCCTATTTTTAGGGCCGTTAATTGTAATCTGCCGCTTAGGTTTCAGTTCTGAGACAATAGCTTATTTCATACTGGAGCGGAGATCCTTGTAACTTTTCTCCGCATTATTGCATAAATGAATCTGCTGGTTAACTCTAAAAACTAACAAGGAAAAACTACAACGCATTGGTATTTAATAATGGATGAAAACCCTCATTCACTTCAACCCTTGGTTGTTTTCTTTCTATTTAAAGCCAACTTCAGCAAGCAGCAGATTTACTGCCAGCAGCTGGGACGCTGTGTAAGTGTCCTACCTGTTTGCCAGTTTTGGTCCCGTGGCTGGAAATGTTAGGGCCTGAAGCAGGGATACACTCTGAGGTTATAGTTGAGGCTAACGACAAAGGCTGCAATGACGAGGAGGATATTGACTTTGTAACGGGCAGAGAAGTAGCAGATGCAGTTTTCTTGGATGTGGTCTGGACAGCATCCAAGCCCGAGCGCGGCTCTCTGTTTGCCTCATCTGTGGCTGGGCTGCTTTTGTTCTGCTGGACCGCTCTTCCCTCTCCATCTGCCCTAAGCAGAGCCCCTCTGCCTTGTCTCTGATAGGTCCTGATGGTGGGCTTGCACACGTAGCTTTCCAAAATCTTGGGCGGCTTTTTGGTGCGCTTGGCCTGGAGTCCGATCCGGACCCGTACGTTCCCCTCAGGGCAGTTTGACTCCCTGCCAGCGAGCTGGAGATCCTGTTGTCCTCCACAACGCCCCTCAATGAGCAGCTCCAGCACAGCCCCCTTGTCTCCTTCCCTTTTTCCCCCTGCTCCTCTTTTCTCCTCCTCTTTTTTCCCAACATTGCTACTGTCGCCGTCACTTCGTTTCTTCTTTTCTGCCACTTGGTCCTGCTTGGAGTCTTCTGGGGCAGAGGTGGAGTCCAGAATGGAGGCAGTGGTTGGAGGGGTCCCCCCCTTCACTCTCTGGTCCATCAGAGAAGTCAGGGGGGAGAGGCCGCGTGCTCCGGGGTTCCCAGTATAACACCTTCAAATGAGTCAATGAGTCCAGAGGGACTGGTGAGGTCAAAGGTGAGGAACAGACGACAGGTAATGGTGAGAAAGGTTAGCAAAACAGATGCCTTAACGGTCCGAGGGCAGTTTAGTGCCTTCATCCAGCGAGGAAAAGTCTCTCTCTGCTTCTTCAGACTGGAGCTGAGTAAATATAAATCTAAAAGAAAGAGTGGAAGAAAAAAACAGAGAGAGGGAGGGGGAGAGAGAGGCCAGAGATTAGTCATTTTAGTGAGCTCAGATGCTGAATCGTAGCAGCACAGGAATTGAGGGGGAAAGTCCCCTTCCTGCAGGCAGCTGCAGCGAGGTGCTAAAGTCTGTGTCCACAGAGATGATCTCATCATACAGAAAGCCCAGGAGGCCAATCAGATTCCCAGAATGTCAGCTCTAACTGGAAGACTTACTCACAATCCCACCAAAACAGCTTCACGTCGATCTCCTTCAACTGTCTGCTGCTGCAGCGGATTACAGAAGTACTTTTAGAGGAACCGTTACATTATCTACACCTTTAATGTGACACCAAATAACTTAAGAGGGAATTCATGCGATGGAGCAACAAAGGAAGTGCATTCCTTTGGAAGAGAAGGAAAAGAGTGTCAAGTTTTCAATTGCTGTTTTACAAATTAAATAGGGGGGTTATAGAATAGATTTATATGATTTACTCTGATACAGTAAATCTAAATATAATCCGGTGCAACTATTTGTATTTTGTGGTATGTCCAGCTTGACATACCTCAGATTAAATCTGTGAACATTATTTTTCGAGTTTCACCACAGATTCTTATTCAGATATAGATCTGGCCTTTGATTGGTCTATTAGATTACGCTTTAATGTGAACTGTGTCATTGTTGATGCCCTCGTACCACGGGGATGGTGCATTCAGGGTGATTATTCTTTATTTTGTAAGGATCTCTCATAAACCTCTTAGTCTTTATTTAACAGCTGCATTAACTGAGCTTACACTACAAATAAATCAGGGGACCTCTGGAGGATTGGTTGCACTGGGTTTTAATCTATGGTATCCTAGGTTATTATCGAAATAATAAAAACTAGAATTTAAAAAAATATTTAACTTGAATAAAGAAAAACTATACCTTGCAAAAAAAAAAGTAACTGTAAGTTTACAAAACTCATTAACACTAACTGAATATTAACCGAGAATGTGCTTAGTTATCATAACGTATTAATACAAGGTTAAGATCCTTGTTGTTTTATGTTTTCTTTCGCTTTACTGTATTCCCCAGCATCTGGGATTTTATTTCTGTTATATATACTTTTTTAACTCTTCCGCCCGATATGTCATCATATTACATAAACACTAAAACTGTAACTGAAACTAGTAAAAACTAAACTCAAACCAAGCACTTTAAAAAAGAAAAAAAAACTAAACTAACATAGCTAAAAAAAAAAAATAGTAAAGACAAATTAAAACTAAAATGGAATTAATAATCAGAAGTCAAAATGAAATAAAAATAAAAAGCAATTTTCAAAATTTTCAAAACGATTTAAACCTTGGTGCTATCACAGTTACGGAGAATGAAAATAAATGCACACCACACTTTTCAGATTTGTTTACCTTTTAAATAAGAATTTGTCTGCCAATTCAGAACTATAGCTACTGTGTCTTGATCTATCACATGAACCAAAATGAAATACATCAAAGTTTGCAGCTGAAATGTGACAGTCTAACAGTCTAAGCGGAATAACCTATATACTTTGGCACTAAACTTATCTGAAGAGCTCTTTCACATCATAATCCTTACTGTCCTGTTCCCAAAATCAGTCAATCAGCTCCTGATTTATTCGAACACTTGATCCGGTCTCCTCCCCTCCTTTCCTTCTGTTCTCAGCTACTCCCATAGCTACCTCTTCACCCTCCCTCCCCTTCACTGTAGCCTCTTTTCTTTCACCCCCCATCCTTTTCATGTTCAACTGTAAGCTTTTTTTTTTTCATGCATTTTCTATTACTCCGATCCACTCTCCTTCCCTCTCTGCAGACCACACAGTAAAACAGTCAACCCGAAACTCTATCGCTGTTAATCAGAACCATATTTCTTCCCTCAGAGCTGTTCTTTCTGTTTTTCCCTCCTCTCTGGTCTAAATCCCTCCATTCACCGCACACACCCCAGCCCCCCTCCCTGCAGCGGTGGTAACACAAATCCGTAGGAAAGGGTAAAACTTATTTTCGGAAAGGAGTGCAAATTCCTCCTCCTCCCATTGCTTCCTCTAAGTCAAGTAAAGCTTTTCATTGACCCCATTGTAAATGGACTTTTAATGTGACATTACACCAGAGAAACACGCCCTAAAAATAACAATCTGCTCACCAGAGAACAGAAAAAAAAAATCTTTCACTCCTGCTGTGTCCAGGACTGTTTTTTTTTTACAATCAAATGCTTTGAGAAAGAAAGCGACATCCTTCATCGAGCTCCCCTCATTAGTCTCCATCTCTCATCAAGGGACACACTCGTCCATTTTCTAATAAAACACACCCCGCAAAGTATTCTCACAGCGCTCTCTCTCCTTCTCTCTCATGAGGGCCACTTATAAAATAGCTCATCTGTCTCTCAACAACAAGTTGAATTGCTTCCTTAAACCTAGGAGAGCATCTCAGTCTAATGTTTTCATTTAGGAGCTCAGTGGACCATCTTTCCTGCCTCAGGGTCCCAAGTCCAAACACAGAAAATGTCCTTGAATCAAACAAATCGTAGTCTGTTCCAGTAACTACTCTTATGTAACAGTATTGGAAAGCATGTTAAAGGTAAATACTAAATATATCAAAATGAAATGAATATAAGCGTGGACCGTAGTTTTTGTTTAAGATGCTAAACGAGGTTGCCTGTTTTTGTCACTAATAAATGTATCCTGGCAGAAAAACACAGCTGACAAAGTCATGATCTTCACTGTAAGAAAACAAAAGTTTAAATAATGACCTGAAGAAAAGAAATACTGCCAATTCTGCCTCAACTAATTACCAGGGTTCAGTGATACATCGATTAAAATCAGTTAAATGATAAATAATCATGTTACATAGTCTCAAAATGAAAAACATTGATCCACATAATCATTTTTAAGATGGGTCAATTTGACCCTATCTGACTGTATGATCTGGCTGAATTGAGATTACATATGTTGTGAATTGGCGCTGTATAAATAAACCTAATTGAAATTTAATAATTTTTTTATATATTGAAAAGATGTTATTCATTTAAATGCTTGATTCCTGTTAGAACTTAGAAAAAAAATTTGGATAATAATTAGATATATTTACTCAGTTACAATTACTTATGTAACTTTTTTAAATTACTTTTATGAGTAGTTGTAAATAAGTGTACTTATACTTTTAGGCCTACTTAAGCAGTATTCTCATGAGAGTATTGCTACTCGTACTTGGGTATAAAGTCTGGTTATTCCACCCATTATGAGTATTAGGGGAGTAAATGATAATTGTTTTGTATCGATGCATCGATCCAACAGCTGACGATCCGATGCATCGACACATCCGCAAGAGTATCGATTCATGTTTATTGTTATCCATTTGCTCCTGGACGTAATTCTGACCTATTTTGCCCTCCTGCCTCGCTTCTTTTAGCCATTACCCTCTGTCCGCTTGCACACACACACACACACACACTCACGTAAACACAGAGGCATATTATTTTTCAGTGAATGAGGTTTTCATAGGCCTAGGTGGAGTACAACTTTGCTACTTCTGTTATTTGCTGTTGTTTGTCAAATAAAATGCATAACAATATTACAGCTTTTATTGATTGATTTCAAATCTGAAACATTGTCTAGCCTGAAAGGTAAAAAATGTTTTACCAATTAATAAAATCGAATCGTATGGTGGTGTATTCTTGAGTCGAATATAATCGAATCGTTGGGTCATGAAATTGATACTGAACCGATTCGCCACGATGGGTGTAATTCACACCCCTAGTAAGTACCTTTAGTTATTGGGGATATCGGCTGATATCTGATACCGATTTCATACTACTGTTGAATGAATTAACTGTATATCTTGCCATGTGAAGTAAGACATCATTCTTGACATACACCTTCTTTAAAAAAGGTAACAAACCAGCACAGATATAAATCATCACTAGCTGCTGTGTGTGAATGACATACTCAGCATTGCAATCATAAAACTGAAGTCACTAGATTGCTGTAACTATATTTTTGTGTAATAATAAAGTAAAAATAGAATAAAGATTTGGAAGTCAGACTCTTTTCCGAGGAGAGTTGGACGTTGTGAGGTTGCCCTGTGTCAAGATTCAATTTCTAAGCACAGCGCCAAAGTGTTGATGGGATCCGTTTTGGTGGCCTCCGGATTACATCTATTATACGCAGATGACGCGGTTCTATTGGCTTCATCAGGGCGTGATCTACAACTCTCACTGGAGCAGTTCACAGCCGAGTGTGAAGCGGCCGGATGAGGATCAATGCCTCCAAATCCGAGACCATGGTCTTGAGCCGGAAAAGGGTAGAGTGCCTTCTCCGGGTGGCACTGGGCTGCGCTAAAATGGATTAGCGCAGTAAAATAAAGATAGCACCCCAAATGCCCAAATTTATAGAGCTTTTCTACAAAACAAAAGCTGATTTTGGGTTTAGTGGTTTAGTAGACTTTAAGATACTAATTGTAAATGTTTGAGTTTGAAATTTGACTCTAATAACCATCCAAGCTAGGAAGGATGCTACCATGGGTGGTGAAGCAGAAGCAGCCAATGAGTCACATTTTTAACTGGTACATATCTCATAATTTTCCTACTTATTCAGCAGGGCCTGATCAGAGCCCCAGTGTGGGTGGGCCGCTTAATTGTGAAGATAGGATTTCCACCTACTCAAGTTTTTTTTCCCCCTTTAAACAAATGACAGTAGATTGACATCATTATAAACAAAGAATTTTAGACTTTCTCTACATGAGAAAAAAAATATATTTGCTCTGGTGTTACCTTAGAAAGCTCCTTAAAAACATTAGGATTTGAGGGCAAGGAAGGACAAATGGAATATCTTAAAAATTATTTTTTTAATAGAGATTTTAGACAAAGAAAACAGTTATTCTACTTGTAGAAAAAAACGAACAGTTGTTGTTGACACACCAGATTGAAAAGTAGTGTAGCTTAATATGGCTAACTGACTGAGCTAAAATAGGCTAACCTGTTAGCTACTGAGCACAGCTACCCAGCCCTCTCCCTTTATATGGTCTAGCAGTTACTTATTCAGCGTAAAGAATTTTTTTTCAGGTTTGTTATTAATCACGTAAAACTTGATTGCTCATTAGACACGCTAATGTTACAGGTGCTCCTGACTCGGCACACAGATGCTGCGTGATGTCATATCGTTGTTTGGGCAACCACAATGTTTTACATCATGTGGCAACGTTCAGTTTTACATCATGTAGCGTAACGTCACAGGCATGCTCAGGGCCTGAGCTGATCTGGTCACAGAAGGCCATTGGACTTTTCCACTTCTTGCAAGTTTTACAAACTATTCTTTTTAAGAAATGTTTTTGTTAGGAATCCAGTTTGTGTGGGTTGTTTGTCTGTTTTTCTCCCTCCACCACCAGGTGGTGCCCTGTCCTCGTTGGGCCTCCCTGCAAACCTGCGGCTCGTTGGATCATTACTGGAGGAGAATTTGAGCAGTGGGCTGTCACTGCTTCGACACCAGAGTGTTTGCCAGTTTTGGGTACTCTAGCCAAGCTGAGATTAGCAGAGTCTAACCTGAGCTTTGTTTCTCTAAGCCTAACCTAGTTTTTGTCTTTGCTCCTCGGCAGGAAGCCTTCCTGAGAAACTGGATACCTGGACCTTCTCCCCCTGGAAGGATTAACTGAGTACACACTGAGCAGGGGAAAACCTCCACATGATTCAAGTCCTCATCTGAAATCCAAGTAACAGTCCGCTCCTTTACTCCTCTGGGTCCAACGCTTGTCTATCTGGTCGCCGTCCAACGAGTTCCCTCTTCTCTGGATTAACCCCAACAAGCTGGATTCAAGGATTGACAAGAGTCCCCTTAAACATGAGTTCCTCTCCAGTTATATTCAAGCCTCAGTCAAATTTACTACAGTCCCTGAACTGATCACTGTGATCTCCCCTTCAGACTTTCCAGTTCCGGTTCACCAGTCCACTGAGTTCCAGATCCAACTTCTGTATTTCATCTACTTTTAATAGGCCTGTTTAGCTTTTTTCTCTTGGTCTCTAAGTGGTTCTCTGCATGTGGGTCAGATCGCTTAAACCTATCATGGCAGTTTTCAACTCTTAAAAACCCACACAGTTATGAGATGAAATAGCGTCGCAGAATAACCTAAAATCCTATTACGAGCCTTTGTGGCACTGACTCGAAAGACATTAAGTGACATAAAAAGGGTTACCGTAGTCTGTCTTTTGCTGTAATTATACATATAGTCAGAGGGCCAATAGGTGACAAAATAGATCTAAATGGTTTAACCGAAATATCTGAGATAGTAGCTTAAACAACTGCAGGCACTTTTCTTAAACAGCAGTAGTGAAAAGTGACGACAGATAATAAGCATGCCAGGTTTTTAAACCTAAAAGGGTAAGCCCATTCAAGAACAGTCAAAGAGCATACTAATAGCTGCCTATGCTCTTCAGAGCCATACCTCTCATACATAACTCAAAATTATTCTAAGATTAGAGCAGAAGCTATTCCCAGTGACAGGATGATGGGTGGACTTGACACTGTAAGTCAGTGTGGTTCCTCTGGAGAGGGACGATTAAATCATGATAATGGCCCTCCATCTTTCCAGCAGCATCATGATCATCTTTCTGTGGCAGTGTTATCATCGAAGGCCACAACAGCTGCTAGGATCTGCTAGACGACAGTGGGAACCCAGCTGGAATCTGGGCTACAGTGCTGGCATCTCAGGTTATTGAGCCACAGGGAGGGACTATAAGGCAGCGGCCAGCCCTATAAATTTGCTGCCCTCCCCACCTGCCAGACAGTCTAATCTTGGATGCATATATTTTATTTTTATTAACAGGGACTGAAAATAACAGAGTATGTGGTTTGTTTATTTACTTATTTATTAGCATGTCATGTATTTGTCCATAGAATGCCTTTCATTCCTGTCCTTGCCCTCTTATAGAAGATGACGGGTTAATAAAATTAATTTAGTTCTGGCTCTAGCTTTTATGATATCAGAAAAGGTTATCGGTAGCTGTTATGTAGCCGTCCCTTTCATAAGTTTCTGGGGGAGCCCCTGCGGGGAAGAACAGCGCCTTACAAAAGTATTCAATCTAAAACCTTTTAACATTTCATATAATTTAACCCATGCACTTAATTGTATTTCGGGTTAATCTAATATAATGAACCAGGGAAAAGTTTTGGTTAACCATGAAGAAGAACAATTATGATTTTTTTGTTTCTTTTCAAGTATAGATCTCTAAAGTGTGTTCGGCATATGTAGCATCCATCTTGAGTCAATAGTTTATAGAACCCAATTTCACTGCAACCACTGCTGCAAATCTTTTTGGGTATTTCCCCTACATCTTTGTACATCTACAAAATGAAATGCCTGCCAATTCTCTCTTGCAAAACAGCTCAAGCTGAGACAGATTGATGGAGTTCATCTGTTAACATCAGTTTTCAAATCTTTGGAAATATTCTCAATAGGATTTAGGCCTTAAATGTCATTAAAGCACTGGAACACATGAAAATGTTTTGATCTAAACCATTCCTGCTCTGGTATTCTACTGGAAGCCGAAGCTCTGTCTTAGTTTCAACTTTTTCAGCTTCTAGGTTAACATCTCCGAATCAAACCAATTTGCCTGGTACTGTTAAAAAAACAACATCCCGCTCCATGATACTGCCACTACCATGTTTCAAGGTAGTAATGATGTTTTATTTAATTAAGTTTAGTCTGCCAGATTTAATTTTCATTGCTCGTTAAACTTTTAATTTCCATCTTACCCGAACTTCCCTAAAAGGCATGTAGCACACTTCTCGTAGTTTCCTTTGAGATATTTTTCCTCTCACCACTCTTTCAAGCAGGCCAGATTTTTGGAGTACAGGAGAAATAAAAAACCTTTTTAGCAGTTTTTCCCCACTTGAGGTCTATATTTCTGCTTCCCTAAAATACTCATTGAAGTAAACCAGTTTCAGTTTTGAGGTAATGGATCAAAAAAATCTACCTGAGAAGTTCAAAGCTTGAAGTACGGTATTTAAACCCAACTGCTTGACAACTTTATCCCTCACTTCCCTGCTGTGTTCATTGGTCTTCATAATGCAGTTTCCTCGCCAACTTTCTTAAAGAAAAACTCTCTGGTACCTTCACAGGCCAGCTGTATTTATTCTAAAACTACATTACTGTTGAGGGCAATAGGTTTCATTGGTTTCAGAGTAAAATGAATATTTTTCTCCTTTTATTATTCACAGAAAACTATGAATCCTGTTCTTTAACTTCCTTGCTTTTAAGTTGTTTGTTTATCACAGAAACAACTTTGTAAAAAAAGTTCTAGGGATGTGAATACTTTCGCGATTCCCTTCATCTCACCTCCTCCCAGATACCGCCCCCCCAGTCAGAAGTGTGTTGATTGAACATTGTGTACTCAGGTCGCAGTTGCGTCTCCTGACTGATGTTGCTACTGTAGATACAGTGGACCCCCCCCTCCTAAAATGACTTTGCGCACCATCGCTTGATGCTGGCGCACTTGCAAATCAAACACACGTGTGGTTGTTGCTCCTCGCTCCCCGTTATAACATATGACGCGCGTTTGAGCGTCTAATAACAGAAATGGAAAACATGCGCAGCAAGCGAGCGAAAAAAAATAAAAAACAACAAACAACTCAACATGGAGGTAATAAGAGGGTGAACGGCATCAAAACCCGCCTGCTGATGTGGATCAGTCCCGGGAGACCCCCCCTTCCAGTCCCCCTGCTGGTGTCAGCAACATTGAAATAAGAAAAATATCACCGCGCAAGGAGAACAGAGGAAGGGGGGGCTGGAAACGCGCTCAGCAACAAGGGATAAAATTAGCGCAAAGCGGATGCACCGAATTTGAGCTCGGTCATGATGAAAAGGCCTGCGCACATTAGTGCGGACTGCCATGGCAATCTGTAATAAGGCTACGTAGGCTACTTACCCAGAGAGCGCGTCCCAGAGCCAACTGCGTTCTGAAGGTGTTGCTGTCCTGATCTCCAATCTCTCGGCGGTCTGATGCATTAGAATGGAGCTCAGATTACATAAGTTAGGTTAAAAACATCCCCCGAAAGACGAGTTTGATTCCCAGCAGAGCGCGGATCCCTCCTTGCAACAACATCGGCGCGGCTGTTTTTCATAATCGGTACAGTCGACGGATCTCCGCCGGAGCGCCTCCGCAGCTAGGTGGCGTACTGGTTACACCCACTGGAGCTTATTTTGCCCACTTCTCTCGCAGGGAAAGTTGGATCGCTCCCGCCAGTTCTCATGGCTCACGGTGCTGTGATGAACGTGTGTGCGCACACACAGGCAGGCAATGAGGAGGAGGAGGAGGAGGGGGGCGGGCTGAAGGCTGCAGCTCTCTATTGAGCGAATGTGCGCGCGCGGCTGGATGTGCGGGAATGCAACTGCGTGGCCATTTTCGTGTGGCAGAAGGAGCGGATAAAACGGCGACAAGAGACCAGGATCTCAGTGTGGTTCATAATAGGCGATCAATGAGGGGGTGTTTAGTCTCTTAATAAAATGGCGACGATTTAAGTGCGCTGCTGTCAGGATTTCTTCTTCTTCTTTTTTTTTCTTTTAGTGAACAGCTCAGAAGTTGCAGAGTGCGTAATGTGGAATTACTGCTGGGAAAACCAGACAGGATACTGGCGTTTATTGAAAAGTTTAAGCGATGACTGTTTAAACAATCCATCAGAGATAATAAAAGCAATATCTCTCTCTCTAAACATTATCCATGGGAAACATAAAACACACTTAAAATTTTCTTTTCTATACTGGCAGTGCTTGAAACAAAAACATATTGCACAACTTTATTGGCAGATAAGATTAAAGCAGACATATATGGTGCTGGTTACTTTTATTCAGTGATAGCTGCATCCTAAATGCACCAGGGAGAGTTATCACAGATCCTTCCTCCCAGCAGCTCTAAGACTATAACACCACTGCAGAGGCGTAGCCAGAAAATCTTTATAAGGGTGGCCAGCAATAACCAATGTACACTGAGGGGTGGGTGAAAGTGGATAAGCATCAGAACCTCACAGTCAATCTACACTGTTCCAACAGGAAAAAAACAAGCAAAACATCCATATTTTTTAAATAAAGACAAACTATACTTTCCCACAGCCTTTGCTAAGAAAAAGGCGAATATATCCAAACATCCGTGCTTTCTAGATAAAAAGCATAGTGGATTAAATTCCTTCAGGTTTTGAGTTTTGAGCGGACATCTTTTCCATTGTCATTGCTTACCTGTTTTTATCAGAAATCCTTCTGCATAAAATTGATATTTACAAGTACATCTACATATATTGATTAGTTAATAAGTCTGTATTCAAAAAGTTATTTATCTATAATTTCATTTAAGGCTCCTAAATGACTTGCAGAGACATAATTTTCTCTTTACTCCATAAAAGACTAAATCTAGTTCTGAAAAGAGCATGAATTTGTACTTATAATCTTTATTGATAGTATATTGATGTGCATAATTAACCACAGTGTTTTTGTTGTCAAGTAATTGTAATATATGTAAAATTAAAATGTTTTGAATATTCCACTTAAAAGTATTACTGCTGCCACCATCTTTATTAGAAGAAAATAAAGGGTAAGGTTGGCCACGGCCACCCCTGGCCCCCCATCTAGCTCTGCCCCTGCACCACTGTTCCCAACAAGTTCACAATAGGTTGTTAAATTCATGCTGATTTTTGCACAGTTTCTACCTTAGTCTGTAGAAATAGCATGCTGCTGTCATTTTGCACATCTCTGATGTTGCTGCTATTTTCAAATATGGTATATTGGATATTTATTTTCCAGGTGCAATGTATTTTTATTGTTTTATATTAAAACACTACTGTACAGTATTTTATCTTTTAACTCTTTACTATAATGTTATTCTTATACATTTTTCTAAGGTCCACATTTGTGTGACCATTTTTTCTATAATCTTCAGCTGCTGTAACTTTTAGTGAACTTTTATTGCTCGATGTTGGCCCCCGCCAAGAACCACCAATGCTTTTATTGTTAATACTCACAAAAATATGGATAGAAATTCTGAGGCTCTCGTTTATTGTCATAATTCAAACTTACAATAAAGAGCAAACTGAAGATAGAGGCTTTAATTTGACTTTTAAAAACAGTGGCAGTACTTGGCGAAATATACCAGAAGGACCCAGATGGGGCTAGTGCTTTTTCAAAGGGGCACAGAAAAAAAAACCACAACAATAAAATAAAGGAAAAAAGTAAAAGAGAGATTTTAGTATATTTAGTGAGCCACAGAACCAAGGTTTCAGGCAGCTGACCTAATAAATGAAAACTCTGGTCATTTCTGAATATGACTGAAACTTAAAGTTGACTAATTTCTAAATAACAGTTAAAGTAAATTTTAAATGTGAAATATTAACTTGTTCCAAGAGAGTAATCAGTTATACACTGTAAAAGTTGACCATTTAACAAGTTAGATCTTGTAGAAAAAGTTGAAAATTGTATATATGCGTAGGCTACATATGAGAAATTAGTGGTGCATTGCAAAAACTCATGTTGGTTTGTAGCTTTTTTGACCCACGTGCAGAATCACAAGGAGAACCAGTAAGTTTTAACATTTATTTACGAAAGCAATAAGAATCTGGCAGCGGAGAACTGCAGGAAGTCAGTTGAACTTTCTGGTTGGTCTGGGGGGAGAAAGCAGACTGATCAGGAAGGAGTTTGTCGAATCCAACTGATGGCTGATTGATTTTCTTGAGGGATTAAGGGGTGGTAGCATGGATCTGTAGGGGTTTGACTCAGCTGGGTTTGCAGACTGCACCCCAGAGGCCCAGGAGAATGTGAGTGAGATCCGAGAGCGTTCGTACTTGCAAGAGGCATTGTGCTGGAGAGTGTGCAGGGAGGTGTTAAAGACTGAGAACTGCTGCACACAGCTCAGACCTTTTCCATGAAGATCAGAGACAAACTGGTTCACTGGTAGTCATCAGGAGTAATCATCCAGCTAAGAGAGATGATGCTTTGCTTCTCATCTCAATTCACAAAACCTTCTCAGGTGTGCAGCAATATGGGTTGGCCCAGCCACCAGCAAAGATCCTCTCTGTGACAGGAGGCTAAATCACACCAGAAAAACAGCAAAATCCCAGAGACCCTAACAGAGATAAGATAATGTAGTTGCTCTATATTATTTCAAATATAAATCGTTTTAATCCATTGGTAAATTATCTTACTTACCAGCTGAAATAAAGGGAAAATACAACTTTTCAAGAAAAATGTACCTATATTTCAAATTTTGTATTGTACGCTTTCGTGCAGGGGCCATAACAGGGCAAGGACCAGTTCTACAGATATGCTGGCCCTTGTTGGCCCCTGTCTAGAAATACCTATGTTTTAAAATACAAAACAAACCCCAAAAGTCTGATGTGTTTTGATGATAATAGGCTGGGACAATGGCTGAACATATTCAACTAAGATGACATGTGTTGTGAATTTGCGCTGTATAAATAAACTGAGTTAAATTAAATTAATGCCCTGAATTGATGGTCAGACATTTTCCTTAAGGATTCTGTGCTATAGAGAGTATAGCGTAATATTCTGATCTTATGCTAAAGTATTTTGATATTCAGCAGAACACAGATTGAAACCACACAACCAAAAGGAGGAGACCTAATCGAAGTTTAGGCCTACACCCAACAGCGATGCTGTGGTATGCAGGCCTGAGGTATAAGGGTGGTCTCAAATCAATCAACAGCAATGTAAAGGACTGATTGCCAGTCATTACAAAGACTTGATGTCACTTGTCAACAGATTATTAAATCTGCTTTAATGAAAAAAAAATGCACAGAAATTGGACTAATCAGACTCATGGCATTCACACATATTATCATATATTCATAGAAATACAATATTTCACAAACAAGATAACGCAAAACATGTTTAAAACTGTCAAAAAAAATGTTCTAGCACTAAATATTGCGTCAGGAGTTTAGAAACAAAATGTGATAAAGTTTATAAAACTCAATTTCCCATCTTTGTTGAAAAGCAGCTGATGAGAGCTTATTGGCTGATGGTAGCGCTACGTCATTTCCTGCAGTCCATGATGGCGTTGTCCGTGACAGATCAGGCACATTGACTTTACTGAGCTGCGCTGTTCTCCTCCTCCTTATTCTGACCTCTGGTGGGTTTTATTGGTGAATGAAGTCAACGGATATTTTCATACCTTGGAATCTGTTGATTTGAGTCGCTGGTGAGTAACTTTCATTGCTCTCAGTGTTGCCTTCAGGGAGCTGCTAAAGCTAGCTGCTAGCGAAGCGCTGTGTTTATGCAAAGGTTACATGACACTTAAAAACGCAACACTTTCAGATTCTTAGTTTCCTAAAGGTATATAAGGATTAACTTTTCCCCGGCTTGTTTCAGATTATGTCTCTTCACAGACTGGCCCTCAGGCTGCGACCAACGGTGAGATAATTCATTGCACCTCAGAATGCGGCACTTATTCTAAACACTAAAGCTGTTGAACAGAGGAGCTGAATGTATTTAAATGTCAAACGGTTGTGTCGCAGGTGAAACATGCCAGGTGCCTTCATACCAGTGGATCCATCCAGCAGCAGGAGGCTGTGGCTGCGGAGCCAGAACCAGAGTCTCTCTCAGTCTTCAGGACACAAGAGAAAGACCCGGTAAAATGTTTGTTTTTTTTCTACTGGAATCACTTAGTTTAGGTGAGAACCTCAAATTAGCTCAATGCTGTCATGAAAAAAACCACACCTCCCTTTTTTGTCTTTAGTTTCTTGTTCACTTTAATGTCCAATACAACTAAAGTTTTAATTTGTATGGACAAATATAATCCATCCATCCATTTTCTGACACGAATTTAGAGAAGCGTATTAATCTAAAATTCATGTAAAGTACCCAGAGAGAACCCACACATGCTCAGGGAGAACATGCAGACTCCATGCAGAAAGACCCCTTGGCCAGGAATTGAATCCACAACCTTCTTGCTGCAAGGGAGCAGTGCTACCCAGTGATTTCTGTCCTTTTGCTGTTTGACCAAATAACCAAAGACCCAGGGGTGGATTACACCAAATTTAACAGATGCACCAGGTTGTATTTTGACAAATGTATTTTATTTTTTAAATGGGGTGCACATCAATTTTGTAACACAAACCAGGGCAAAATTCATAATTTGCAGAGGTGTCAGAAGTACACACATCATAAAAGTTGGAGTATTAACTTGACCTCTTTACTCAACTAAAAGTGAAAAAGTATGTGCTCCAAAAACTACTTCAAGTATAAAAGTATAAAGTAACCTTTAAAAAAACAGCCAGATGCCACTATATGAATTGAAAGCTCAATTTTACGACTATTTCGAAAATTTCTTTGAGATAGGGCCAAGGATGAGGGAGGTCTTGTTGGTCTCCATCTCCTGATACGCTCTCGCCTGTGTCAGACCTTTCAGACATTTCAACATCTTTTTCCTATTTGTGAAATAATCTTGGCTCAAAACAAACAATAAAAATATAACATAATGAATGTTATAAGACTCCTGAATAGGCGTCGAAACATTTTAAGAAAAAGTAAGCCAAAGTCCTGTTGCCTTCTATTGAACCTTTTTTGTGGTTGCCATGACCCAGATGACATAATTTGCACATTGATTGAGAACAGACATAAATGTATATCACGTGAACCACAGAACCAAAAAAGCCACTTGCAGCTCTGGAAATCCCAGATATAACAAATTAAATCTTTGATTGTATCCAAATATAACTGACAGTAAAATTGTAAGACCTTGATTGCATATGACAAAGTTGGTCTTATCATTTTTTAATGACTTTATCTCTATTAATCTCTCTTTTCCACACACTATAAGCTTCAATAAATGTTTTAAAAGGCTTGTACTCTTTATGATTTTGAGTTCATATCCATATGCCAATTAGGGCTGGGTAATTAATTGCATTTGCAATATAAAGGTAATTTTACAAAGCGCAATTTTCAAAACGCAGTGGCACCCGATTTTAGTCACATTATATTTAACAAGAATAGACATTCAAATTTCTTACTCCAGCCCTTTGGGTGGCAGTAAAGTGCTAAGAGTTGGTTTATCCCCACATAGAAAGCTAGACAGAGTTGTAGCTCAGCCCATGCATGCAAGTAGAAGTTAGTACTCCTTCATGCTAAGGTTATAATAAAATCCTGCAACAACGGAGTCTGGTATAGCGAGTTTTAACTGAAAGCCTGTGGTGAAACATCTACAAGCTTGGAGTTATTGTAATTCGAAATAAAATCATAATATTGGTTAAAAATAATCATAATTTCATTTTGGCAACATTGTTCAGCTCTAACGTGAATCTGTTACAGAATGAAGGCAAACTATATTTGGTTCAGGGCTTTCTTGTTTAAATTATCTAGTCTTACTCAAATTAGGATTTTAAAATAAAACACAGATTTAAACATAATTTATTATAAAATCAGAAGTTTTAGTTAAAAATGTTTTGTAATTTCTGGTAAGAAGAGACATGTTGTAGTTTTGCAGGATTGGTTATATGTAGAGTCTGTATCTTAACTTATGACTTTTTCTTAACTTTATTCTTTTTTCTGTAGTTCTATGTCTTTACAGTTTAGCATGGTATTTTAGATATGTGTTTTCAAATTAATTATATAGCAAATGGAGTTTCCTATTCTATTATAAACTCTGTGAAAATGAATTTATGTGTCTGATTGACATCTTTCTCCTGGTCTTAAAGTCTTTAGACTGATGCCTCTGAAGTATTTTATTTAAGTTGTTTTGAAGTTTTAATAAAATGATTTCATAAGAGGGAAATTTTAAATATAGCTTTTTTTTATTAATATGTTAAGGCTGAAAATGTTTAAGAACACCTCATTTGAACCAATGAGTGGAAGGCAGCTTTCACTCTTTAATCACATCCTGTTTGAATTGCGTTCATTTCTGTGAAAAGATTAACGCTTAATCCTTTTAATACCTCAAGGCTCAAAATAATATACATTTTCAAAATAAAATTGAAATATAAATAAGATATGAAATATACATTTAAAATGTTTTCATTTGAGAAATATCAGTAATTTCCTTATAAAGTTAAAATTGGCTGCGTACAGCTGTACCAAAGGCCATATCCATAATGCTTATTTTGAATTATTCTTTCCATGTCTTGTTCCTTTAATCTCGTCTTTTAAGGCATTTTTTTTCAGACGTTTATTGACTAGATCTTGTTTTGGAAAAGGGATTATATTGGACTTGGGTAGACTGTGGGAAGTGTTGGATTTCCAGAATTTCCTTCCTAAAAATAAATCCCAATGTGTGAATAAGTTGTCGTCCATCTAACCAGTTTGTCAATTCCTGCATTTCTTTGTCATCCCTCCATTTGTTGATGAAGGAATTTGTTTATCTTTGTTCCTTCCACATCTTAATATGAGTGGGTAGTTAATCTATTTGCTTAATCCGATTCTATTCATATGCATCTGTAATAAATTCATGTAGTTTACATTACTAGCTCAATTTTTTTAACCTCTTTCATATTTAGAGTTTCTTCATAAAGGACCATTAACCATGACTGAGAATTTTATTTTGTGCCCTTGAATTTCCATATGCATTCATGAAAGGAGTCAAATAAGATTGAAAGTTCTCATTCCTCTTCACCCGTCTCTGTTGCCACACAGGCTTGCCACTCAGAGAAACACATCGGACACTTCTACACGCTGCCTCCTGCGCACGTCCGGCCCCTGTTTCCAAACAGCCTCCCATGGCGCTATCAACAACAGGCAGGTTCTTCTCTGGATCTGCAACAGGAAGTAATGGCTTTAACAGACTGGGTATAAATGGTGTGTGATTATTTCTAGACAAAGACGTTCAATGAGACCTGCATCATGGTGCGGCAGCCAGCCCTGGAGGTCATCTCTTACTTGAAAAAAGCCGACTACAGCCAACCTGCAGTGAGATACCTGTTCTGTATCCTTCAGAGCACAGAGGCCTCGAATGAAAAATATATTTCAACAAAAATTAATTTCCCCCCGATTCTTGAATATAACTGCTGCTGTTGTCCTTATCGGGGGGCTCAGATGGATTGAGGGGGAGTGGAAAAACAATGTCTCTTTGTCACGCGCTCCATTACTGTTACGCACAGGGATGGCTGGTGCTTCACGTCCCTGATGGTGAGGTGAAAAAAAATCACACAATTAACTGAAAGCTAGAAAGGGTACCAACCCGTCTGCATCTCCTCTGCCTCATGCAGCCCACCAGTGGGTGAAGAACTGTAAGGAGCTGCTGCCTTCATCCTATAGTTCATCTCGCTTTGACCAGCCGCTGCAGGCCACCACGTGGTTACGCAACTTCAAAGTCACCAATGAACCTTTTCTTTCAAAGGTAAGATTTGGTCGTTTATTAACTTGGCTGGTGGAGTTTCACAACCAGAGGCCAAGGATTGCATTAGATGGCCCTTTTCTCCCATTGTTAACCATTTTCCCAAAGCTAAAGGAGCAACATTTTAGGGCTGAAACAATCATAATTAATCAATTATTGAAATAACTGTCAACTATTTTAGTAAAAAAGAGTATAAGGACTCCAAAACATGCCTTTAGTAAAAGAGCCACCAACCTATAGCAGTAATTATATCACAAATTGAAGAAAAAAATCAATGATTAAACATTTTGCACATAAGATAAATAACTTTCATGCGTCGATGTGCCTTATCCAGGGCACCTCAAATGGAAAAGTTTAAATGTGGTTGAAATTCTGTAGGGAAAAGAACATTTTTAAAGAAGCTTTTAATATCAGATTTTTTATTGAAAAAATAATCGATTAGCTAAATGATTAGTTGCATGTTTCTTCTTGCAGCTGTCAACAGATGCTAAAGATGCCATTTCAATTCATATCAAACTGAAAAGAAATGCTAAAAAATGTAACAAGTGGCTCTTGGATAACATGTTAGGTTTAAAAAACCGTTTTTCTTCTGCAATTTTAAGTACAATTAGCGTTTTTGTTGTTTCCATTTAAACCATCTAGAAACCAATTGATTCTTTGGACTGTAATACAAAATTTCTCCTCTGGATTTTAAGAGTTGCCTTTTTATTGATAAAGTATGTAGAACTTAGATGACGTTTACGCTCACTAAGCTCACTCAGAACTGAAATATTAAAGTGTTTTTGATTTGCACAAGTATTCTCACAACCTGAAACTGCATTTTCCTCAGTGGTCGTGTTACAACCAAAATGTCAATGAACTGTAGAGGGATATTAGAATTGAAGATTTAGTAGACATTTGTATTTGGCCTCCTTTTAATCAACACCCTATAATAAAGTTCAGTGCTGCTAAATGCTGATTTATGATTTCAATCTCTGAGCCTACAGAGGGCATTATGAAACCTCTCATTATGAAACCACATTTTTTAGACAGAATTTCAATCATGTTTGATTTTAAAAACAAATCTCAGTCTTTTTAAATGTTTCCTTTTTAGATTAAAACAAAGGAGCGATATATGTGGACAAAAAGGGAATCCACCGAGGCGGGGAGTCCACTTGGAGAGCTGGTGGATCAGGTCAGTCCCCTGAAGCCGTCTTTATCCTCCATTAAATCCACGGTTTGGTTAATAATGAGGTCTTTCTCACTCCAGCTTTTCTCATGAGCTCTGCTTTATTTCCGCTCGAGTTAACTCTGCTTCAAGAGTCTTTAAAGTTTCATCTTTCCCCAGGCTGAGCGGTGATCAATAGCCGATGAGCTGAGCAGAATAATGGATCAGCTCAGTGTTGTACCGCACACATCGATGAGGACAGAAAGCTGCTGTGGGTTTATGAGCAGCTACATAAACTCCCGTTTTGTCTGTCACTCTTCAGTTTAGGCAGATTTATTGCATCCATCTGACTTGTCTGTGTTGCTGTTTCTGGAGTCCGCTGTGCCGTATGCTAACATGACTGGAGGAAATGCTGATAAGCATCTGTGTCTGCATTATTTGATTTATTTTTCCACTCTTCTATCTATTACTTCCTGAGTATTTTGTCTTTTTTTATCTGATGAAAGGTTTAGACTTGCAATGAAATGCATTCTGGATGAAATCCTTCTCCTTTTTACTGTAATATAGTTTGATATATATTTATATGTATTTTTTTCTACTTTTACAGTATTGCAGTTTGCCTCCCGTTTATATGACTGTCATCAGGTCCTACCTCCTTTGCTGCAGGGCATATCTCGAGTGAAGAGCAGCAGCGATGTGGTGGGGGCAGTGATGAAGGAACTCAGGCTCCAAAGCGGTCAACAGGGAGCTGGCTTCCATCTGGTGGTGGCGGTGGACGGTGTGAATGCCCTGTGGGGAAGATCCACCATCAAGAAGGAGGACAAGACAGCTGTAATGGAAACCCATCTGCTATGCTCAATCATTTCTTTTGGTTTGTTTTTAACAAACAGGAAGTCATATATTCCTTTCTAATTGTCCTCAGGTGGATCCGGAGGAGCTGACTTTAGTTTATAATCTAAGAAAGCTGATGAGGAATGACTGGGTGAGAGGAATACAAGAGTATGACCATCAAAGTGCTGTTTTTAAGAAAACCTCTGACCTTTATTGTCTTGTCTCAGAGCGGAGGCGCCATCATTACCACTCTGTCTCAGACGGGCTCTCTCTATGCTCCAAAATCTGCCTACTTGCCTCAAGAGCTGCTTGGAGAGGTGAGAGAAAATTCTGTTTCAGCTTAAAATCCAATCGACTCGCCCTCAGGGGGCTGGAACTTAAACATTTCTGCAGCTCTGGGTACATAGAAAATAAGAAAGTGACAAATCTCCTTTTTATGGGGTTTTAAAAAAATAGAAAGTGTCATGAACGTAATAATCAATTTGCCTTTTCTTTAAGACTTGAATTCCTTCAGAGGTTTTATACAGAGTCTTGGATTAATTTCAGATACAATGCCTTACAGTATTTATTGTAACCTCAAAGTGTGTCCAGATTGAACTATGTAGCTGCAATCTTAAAGGTATTTTATTGAGTTTTTATCCTTTATACCAAAGTGGTGCACAACTGAAGTATAATGAATAGGATATAGGATTTTCAAAAGCTCTTTATAAGCAAAAATCTGAATGATGTGGAATGCATCTGTATCCATCCCCTTTTAGTCACAACTTTGTACAACTATCTTTTATTGCTAGTAGTCTATCCACCTTATAGCATCTAAAATTGTTCTTTACTGAAGAGCTCATGGATGGAGTGCCTATGAACTTTTAAGCCTTGATATATTCAAGGTTGGATTTGGCTCTGGACTTTGACCGGGCCTTTTTAATACACGTATGCTTTGAGCCAAGCCATTCAATCTGTTAATTGAACCTCTGCCTTAGTCTTTACCCCCTGCTAAAAAAACAGGTGTATTTTTTAGGATTACCCATAATTAAGCCTTGAAATATATTCTAATATAAGCTGGCCATAAACTGGCATAATGCTGCCACTACCATGCTTCAGGGTGTTCAAAGTTGTGTGTAGGGTGCGCTTTGCATACAAAACCTCATCTGAGGCCCTATTTATTGTATTACCTGTGACTCCACATTCTGAAGGAGCTAAGCTTGTCACTCTCGATCAGTTTTGATGCATCTCTGTTTCAACATGCCTGGATATTAGCCCATCAGCACATCACTGTAGAGCTTATCTGTATGCTAGTCAGACAGGTTAGCCATTGTACTCATCTGTAAAGAACAAGGGACTCATGAAAAAGTTGCAGGAAACCTTTGAAGATTTACGTTTCAGACGACTGCTTTAGGTGGATGCCATTGTCTTTGTATGCTAGCAGATGTGTTGTACTGTTGGAGAAATTTTGAGCATTCTAGAAATTTCCTGACATTTGCCAGCATAGGCCATATGTGGGCTATAAGTTACAGGTAAGTTATCTGATTGTTGACATAAGTTAAGAGTAAGTTACTCATAAGTCTTGGTGTCTAGCTTATCCAAAACCTATACAGTGTATAGTAACTTGTGCATAACTTATGCGTAGCTTATCCAGAACTTATATCTAACACTTATCGACGGATTTAACGTGTTCCAGACGGCCGCTGAACGAGTTTCAAATTACAGCTACTGTATAATGGCCTTTTGGCAGAGTTTTGGTATAAAAGGGGGTTCGCAGGAAGAACCGTCATTTCTCCTCCAGACTTCCAACATAGTTTGAGTGAGAAGGTGGGTGTGATGGATCCACGCTGCGCCCACAACCATGACGAACACACTTCCTAGCAGACATGACGCTGAATCTGCTGCGACTGCAAACCTCACCACCACCTAAACCCTCACAGAACAGATGTATTCTGCTTAAAGTTGCATTGCTCATGTCTGGTTTACTGAAGCTGCCAGAAATTAATCTGTTCCACATTTTTCGGTGTAGCATTAGTAAATATTTCCAACATCATGTTTTATTTATTTTTTTTTTCCTACTACTTTGTGAGCACTTATGTAAACCCTCTCTTAAATACACTTATGTTTTTTTTGTGGTTGTATTATATTTATTTAAAATTGAATGTAGAAGGCTGTCAGTTTTCAATAAGACCTCAAGCAGAAATCTATCCCTTATAACATTCCTTTCCTAATATTGTGGTTTTGGAGTATTTGAGTTGGACTGTTTAGCAGGAAACTAAAGATTCAACCAACTGTTAACTGGTTGTTCTTATTTTCTTGTAGGATATTAAGGAACTGTTTTGCAGTACAAAGGGGGTGTAAGCATATAATGTGCCACATTATTCCTTTTAATGCTTCAGCTCTTTACAATTTGACTTCATTTAGTCATTTGTGACTAATTGTAAGCATATTTCTTATAGGGCTGTATACCATTAAATCAGTTCAACCTTTGGCTGATCTATGCTGAGAGGCTCTAAACTATAAGTTTTAGAACAGGGTCATATAACCTCTCTGATGGAAAACATTTCTATTGTATTAATTACTATTTATCCTGAAATGTGTGGACTTAGTGGTTTTTTTTTATTTATTTTTTATGCAGATTTGAAAACATTTCTGATTAGTTTCATCCCTTTGATCTCCTGAAGTGCCTGAAGCAATCGTCATGGTTTCCGGATATAATTTTTACATTTATTTAAAAAAAAAAAAAACACACACTGATCTTTGTGCTCATCTGGGCATAATAGTTGATGGCATTCAAAAGTACTTTATTAAACCCAAAGGGAAAGGAAATATAGAATATAAAATAAAAGAGAAAATTAATTTGAATGTCTTGCACCCCTGTAGGTGATAGATTTTATATTTCTTTTCTGTAATCTCTTCTGTGTCGTCCTTAAAGAGGGGCTTTGACAGCATGGATGCGTTCGTCCCTGTATCAGTGCCCAACTACAGTGAGAAGGAGTTCGAGAGCTGTTACCTTTACTACATGGATCGCAACTGGCTGCAGCATCCACTCAGTGAGTGTTTGTTGGCCTGGCTGTTATGTGATGAAAGATGACTCGTAACAAAAGGTGTTCTCACCATGTTTGCTTTCCCTTCAGGTCGAACAGAAGAAGGGAAGAAGGAACTCATATTCTTGAGTAACAGGAATCCATCTGTGTTGGAAAGACTTTGTGGCTTTTTGTGAAGTCACAGAACCTTTATTGCAACAGTATAGAAATATACAAGCAAATATCCATGTGTGTAATGTGAATCATGCTATAAATTATATTACTCTGTTGCTTTGTTAATAAAACACTGTTAAAAACTGTTTGTTTTTCTTTTTAAGGATGGTATTAAGTGTTCAGGATGATCTGCTAGAGAGTAGGATTCTTGTTTCAATTAATAAAGGCAAATGGTAAAGGGTCCTACAGCAGGAAGGAAATCCCAAACCATAACACTGCCATTATCATGTTGCTCTAACTGTAGATGTATTCTTTTTCTGAAATGTTCTATTTTACAGTGGCGTGCAGACCTGAAAAATTCTAACCTGTCAACGGCATATTTTCCTCAAGATCATCTAGAATATTTTTGGAAAACAAGAGACGTGTCTTTATCATCTTCCATGTTTATGCCTTAAAAACTTATGTAAATGCAACTATTGCTGATTAGTGAACAATGACTTAAACAAGGCACATGAGGCTTACAGGGCTTTATATGCTGGATCCTGGACCTAGGCACCAATGTTTTTATTTTTCAAATATTTTATTAATTTATTTTCAAATATATATTTATATTTTGTGTGTGGATAAAATTACTGAGTTTTGCCATTTCAAAGGTAATTTTTTTTATATTTTTTTTTTATCACATTTAGAAATAAAAATTGTTTATGGTTTGCCATATTGCCAGCCCAGCTGGATTTTTCAATTCAGTTTATTTCTATAGCGCCAATCCACAACACGTGTCATCTCAAGGCACTTTACAGTTCACCAGATCATACAGTCAAATTGATTCAAAGTTTTCAATCTAAGGAAAACCAGTTGATTGCATCGACTCATTGACTCAAATGCAATCCCTCACACTAAGCATGCTTGCAGCGACAGTGGAGAGGGAAAACTCCCTTTAACAGGAAGAAACCTCCAGCAGAACCATCTTTGAAGAATAAAATTTAAATCACATCCTTCCCCAGTTCTATTTTAACTTAGTCTTTGTAAATATGAAAAAAAGAAGACGAATTTAATGAAATTCTCCTCTTTTACCAACATACAACAGGGGTTTTTGTTTTTATTGTTTTAATTATCTTAGTTCAAATATCTTTATCTTATTTCATTTTAGTACTCATCAATATAGCAACTTTTCAGTATATTTTTCTCCTATTCCAAAATACATGGTTTGTGGTTGGTTAAAAATGTGTACAAATATCTTAAAATTATCGGTTACACGATCATATGAAAATAACATTTGGATATTTCTTTTCTAACAAACCTAAACCTGTCTTTACGGTAAAGCGCCCTCTGGTGGCATGTACTGGTTAGTGCACAGTTGGTCACGTGATTGTTCCAAAACACACGTGACCGGCTCCTAAAAGTGATCAGAAAATGATCAGGAAGTTCTGCTATGGCTTGTGGGACACCGATACAGTGACGGAGGAGTGATTGTAGCAGCGTTTCAGCTTCAGGACATCTCGTAGCTTCTGTCTGCTTCCTCTAAAGGTGGGTGGGTCGTTTTTAACAGCTCTGGTGGACAGATGTCTCTGATCCAGCTGAGTTAACAGGTTCAGTTGTTGAATTCTCAAGTCCTTACACCTTTATTTGTCTGCAAGTGAAATGATGTTGCCGCCATCGCTTGTTTTAGCTCTTTTTCTCAGCGCAGCTGATGTGGTCTTTTGCACAGGTAACCTGAAACAGAAACATTTCCTCCTTCTGTGTTGTGCACTGATAATGGCCCCTCCCTCTCATAGGAACCACTGGATGTGTTGCCAGAAACTTTGGCCATGACTCTGTGGTGTGTGAATGTAATTCCACTTACTGTGACAGTGTTGGTCCAGTCATGGTTCCACCTCTGGGTCAGTACTCCACCTACCTGAGCAGCAGAGCGGGCAGCAGGATGGAGGCAGGCCAGGGTCAGGTCCAGGTAAACAGCAGTGGAGCAGGTAAGAGGATGAGGATTGCAATGATAGAACACCTCTGCTCTCTCCTAAACAGTTTCCTCCTTCCAGGTCTCAGACTGACGATTGTTCCCTACCAGAAGTATCAGAAGATTAGGGGATTCGGAGGAGCCATGACCGATGCAGCAGCCATCAATATACTTTCTCTTTCTGCTGGTGCACAAGACCAGCTGCTCCGTCAGTACTTCTCTAAAGAAGGTAAAGATTAAAGAGACTTATTTATACCACTTTATGTTATAAATTAACACCATGTCTTTTTACCCTTTTAGAGAAGTTGTTAAACTATTTTCAGCATAATAAAGATGACACATTAATTACATTCTGCTACCTATTTGGCCGAGATCATGATTTTAATAAAAAATGGGTAAGAAAGTATAAATTGGCTCATAAATGGAGTGCTTCCTTCCCACAGTCACCATTTGTTTGCTCAGTAGGAGAGATTTTAGATTCAGTGAAGTGGACTGAGCTTCCCAAGAAAGAAAACTTTTGACCAGTTAACATTATAAGCTCACTGTAACTTTACTTTATTAAAACCAGGATAAAATTATAATGTCGTATAAAAACCTATTTATTATCCTGTGCAATAACCTGTTTTATATCTAATACTCAGTGGAATAACGATATATATAAATACCTATTTAT